TATGGGATTCATGTTATTTTACAGTAAAATACTGTAGTTTTAGAAGTGAAAAAAGAACAAGTCATCTTATAATTTACAGCGAAAAAACGCTTGCCGTTGACTTTCCCAGAATTCTCTGTGCGACAGCTCACATTTGATAGTTTTTCACTGAAATAACTTTCTTCGTGGTTTTTTTCTTATCGATTAGGCATAATGTGCATCGTGGATCTCATGTTGTTAACTCTTTCCCCGCCAGCGTTTTATTTTTTTTATTTTTTTTTAAGTTGCCAGCCACCGCCAGCATTTTTGATCATTTTCACCAAAGTTTCATGACCCGCAGAATATTTTATTTAATGAATATCTGAACCTGAAATATCAAAAGAAAGAACAGAGCCTCTGCGTTTAAACAACAAGATTAAGTGTAGTGAACTCTTCAGATTAAGTGTAGTGAACTCTTCTGATTAAGTGTAGTGAACTCTTCAGATTAAGTGTAGTGAACCCTTCAGATTAAGTGTAGTGAACCCTTCAGATTAAGTGTAGTGAACCCTTCAGATTAAGTGTAGTGAACCCTTCAGATTAAGTGTAGTGAACCCTTCAGATTAAGTGTAGTGAACCCTTCAGATTAAGTGTAGTGAACCCTTCAGATTAAGTGTAGTGAACCCTTCAGATTAAGTGTAGTGAACCCTTCAGATTAAGTGTAGTGAACTCTTCAGATTAAGTGTAGTGAACCCTTCAGATTAAGTGTAGTGAACTCTTCAGATTAAGTGTAGTGAACTCTTCAGATTAAGTGTAGTGAACTCTTCAGATTAAGTGTAGTGAACTCTTCAGATTAAGTTTAGTGAACTCTTCAGATTAAGTGTAGTGAACTCTTCAGATTAAGTGTAGTGAACCCTTCAGATTAAGTGTAGTGAACCCTTCAGATTAAGTGTAGTGAACCCTTCAGATCAAGAGTAGTGAACCCTTCAGATTAAGTGTAGTGAACCCTTCAGATTAAGTGTAGTGAACCCTTCAGATTAAGTGTAGTGAACTCTTCAGATTAAGTGTAGTGAACCCTTCAGATTAAGTGTAGTGAACTCTTCAGATTAAGTGTAGTGAACCCTTCAGATTAAGTGTAGTGAACCCTTCAGATTAAGTGTAGTGAACTCTTCAGATTAAGTGTAGTGAACTCTTCAGATTAAGTGTAGTGAACCCTTCAGATTAAGTGTAGTGAACTCTTCAGATTAAGTGAAGTGAACTCTTCAGATCAAGAGTAGTGAACCCTTCAGATTAAGTGTAGTGAACTCTTCAGATTAAGTGTAGTGAACTCTTCAGATTAAGTGTAGTGAGTGAACTCTTCAGATTAAGTGTGGTGAACCCTTCAGATTAAGTGTAGTGAACTCTTCAGATTAAGTGAAGTGAACCCTTCAGATTAAGTGTAGTGAACTCTTCAGATTAAGTGTAGTGAACCCTTCAGATTAAGTGTAGTGAACTCTTCAGATTAAGTGTAGTGAACCCTTCAGATTAAGTGTAGTGAACCCTTCAGATTAAGTGTAGTGAACTCTTCAGATTAAGTGTAGTGAACTCTTCAGATCAAGAGTAGTGAACCCTTCAGATTAAGTGTAGTGAACTCTTCAGATTAAGTGTGGTGAACTCTTCAGATTAAGTGTAGTGAATTCTTCAGATTAAGTGTAGTGAACTCTTCAGATTAAGTGTAGTGAACTCTTCAGATTAAGTGTAGTGAACTCTTCAGATTAAGTGTAGTGAATTCTTCAGATTAAGTGTAGTGAACCCTTCAGATTAAGTGTAGTGAACCCTTCAGATTAAGTGTAGTGAACTCTTCAGATTAAGTGTAGTGAACTCTTCAGATTAAGTGTAGTGAACTCTTCAGATTAAGTGTAGTGAACTCTTCAGATTAAGTGTAGTGAATTCTTCAGATTAACTGTAGTGAACCCTTCAGATTAAGTGTAGTGAACTCTTCAGATTAAGTGTAGTGAACCCTTCAGATTAAGTGTAGTGAACTCTTCAGATTAAGTGAAGTGAACTCTTCAGAATAAGTGTAGTGAACTCTTCAGATTAAATGTAGTGAACTCTTCAGATTAAGTGTAGTGAACTCTTCAGATTAAGTGTAGTGAACTCTTCAGATTAAGTGTAGTGAACTCTTCAGATTAAGTGTAGTGAACTTCAGATTAAGTGTAGTGAACTCTTCAGATTAAGTGTAGTGAACTCTTCAGATTAAGTGTAGTGAACTCTTCAGATTAAGTGTAGTGAACTCTTCAGATCAAGTGTAGTGAACTCTTCAGATCAAGTGTAGTGAACTCTTCAGATTAAGTGTAGTGAATTCTTCAGATTAAGTGTAGTGAACTCTTCAGATTAAGTGTAGTGAATTCTTCAGATTAAGTGTAGTGAACCCTTCAGATTAAGTGTAGTGAACTCTTCAGATTAAGTGTAGTGAACTCTTCAGATTAAGTGTAGTGAACTCTTCAGATTAAGTGTAGTGAACTCTTCAGATTAAGTGTAGTGAACTCTTCAGATTAAGTGTAGTGAATTCTTCAGATTAACTGTAGTGAACCCTTCAGATTAAGTGTAGTGAACTCTTCAGATTAAGTGTAGTGAACTCTTCAGATTAAGTGTAGTGAACTCTTCAGATCAAGTGTAGTGAACTCTTCAGATTAAGTGTAGTGAATTCTTCAGATTAAGTGTAGTGAACTCTTCAGATTAAGTGTAGTGAATTCTTCAGATTAAGTGTAGTGAACTCTTCAGATTAAGTGTAGTGAACTCTTCAGATTAAGTGTAGTGAACTCTTCAGATTAAGTGTAGTGAACTCTTCAGATTAAGTGTAGTGAACTCTTCAGATTAAGTGTAGTGAATTCTTCAGATTAACTGTAGTGAACCCTTCAGATTAAGTGTAGTGAACTCTTCAGATTAAGTGTAGTGAACTTCAGATTAAGTGTAGTGAACTCTTCAGATTAAGTGTAGTGAACTCTTCAGATTAAGTGTAGTGAACTCTTCAGATTAAGTGTAGTGAACCCTTCAGATTAACTGTAGTGAACTCTTCAGATTAAGTGTAGTGAACTCTTCAGATTAAGTGTAGTGAACTCTTCAGAATAAGTGTAGTGAACTCTTCAGATTAAGTGTAGTGAACTCTTCAGATTAAGTGTAGTGAACTCTTCAGATTAAGTGTAGTGAACTCTTCAGATTAAGTGTAGTGAACTCTTCAGATTAAGTGTAGTGAACTCTTCAGAATAAGTGTAGTGAACTCTTCAGATTAAGTGTAGTGAACCCTTCAGATTAAGTGTAGTGAACTCTTCAGAATAAGTGTAGTGAACTCTTCAGATTAAGTGTAGTGAACTCTTCAGAATAAGTGTAGTGAACTCTTCAGATTAAGTGTAGTGAACTCTTCAGAATAAGTGTAGTGAACTCTTCAGATTAAGTGTAGTGAACTCTTCAGAATAAGTGTAGTGAACTCTTCAGATTAAGTGTAGTGAACCCTTCAGATTAAGTGTAATGAACTCTTCAGATTAAGTGTAATGAACTCTTCAGATTAAGTGTAGTGAACTCTTCAGATTAACTGTAGTGAACTCTTCTCTAACCCTCCAGTGTCGTCTGAATGAAAGAAACGCGGCTGTGACGTGAGTCAGAGCGTGTCGCTGTCCTCTGCTGGTCTCGGGGAGCCCGTGGGCTGATGGGTAACAGCGTGAGTCGGCTCTTTGCGGGCGTTTGTGACTCATGCATGACACATTTGTTCATTAGCAGAGGCTTTCAGGCAGCATGTCAGATGCTTTAATATCATTGGGTCTGTAATCTGGGAATCGAACCCTTCACCTGAATGTTGCGAGCGCAGGGAAGCAGATGAAGTATACAGAGATAATGCCGACCCACTTTCTGTGCCGTGTTCTTTAAGATAAGTGCTAACTGGAGAGCCGAGCTGAATTATTGATGATCCTGAAAATGGTAATCGCTCTGGTCTCGCTGCAAATGAAGAGGGAGGGGGCATTTTTAATGAGCTCAACTGTGTCCACTAATGTGTTCAAAAGCTGGTTAACCCTCTATGACCACATGATGAACAGAAACTACAATAAACCAGGTTTAGGAAATGACTTTTGACCTCTGATCCAGGGAACTGTCTTTCATACTTAACAATGGAAACATTTGAAAGCATTATTTTATTGGTAAATGGAAAAATGAACTGTAAACCTCTTACAAATTAAATTTTATATAAAAATTTTTACATTTTATTTATTCACCAACAATAAAACAATAGCTATTTTATTTCTGTCATCTTCTTTATCATACTTTAAGTGATTTTATCATTTTTAATTAGTTAAATTAAAATTGTAGTTAAGTTTAAAATGTAATTATTTTTTTTTTATTTCTATTTAACTTTAACAAATTCAGTTTTAGTCATTTTAATACCTCATCTATTGAAAATGTAATTTCTTATTTTCAATTTCTAATTTTCGTGAATTGTTTTAAATTTAAGTTTTTATCCAATATTTGATTTTATTTCAGGTTTATTTCAATAAAACGATTTTTAATAGTTTAGATTATCAATACCATCCGTGATTCTGATGTAGATTAGATTTCCATGATGCGTGTGGAGTTGTTTAGTGTGTTGCTAAGTAGTTTCTGAATGCATTATAGTCATGTTTCATCTGCACATGATACCAATATTGATATACTAATATGTTTATAATCATATCAATACACTATAATAAACATGCTAATTTTGTACTAAATATTCCATACAGACCATTTACATTAAACAATTTTGAAGACAAAAATATCAAGACAAAAACATATGTTGAAGTCTATCAGATTTTTCGTAAACACAAATATCCACTTAGGTTTGTTCCCTTGGTAACTAAAATACTCTATCCCTTTACACATAACAAAACTAGCATTCCATAAAACTATGAGTCAATATGACTTCATAAAGCCGAGAAGCATTTCATTACAGTTTTTGAAGTGTAAAACCACCTGTTTTTTCACATGCGTGAGATTTATAAATGTCGTGTTAATGTGTGTGTGTCTCACTCTCACAGCTCTGGCTCTCTTTAGCGTGAGCGTCTGCGTCGTCCCACACACACCGTCGCCATGACGACCTCGGCCCTGCGCCGGCAGGTGAAGAACATCGTGCACAACTACTCGGATGCGGAGATCAAGGTGCGGGAGGCGACCTCCAACGACCCCTGGGGCCCGTCCAGCTCGCTGATGTCGGAGATCGCGGAGCTGACCTTCAGCGTCGGGGCCTTCAGCGAGGTCATGGCCATGGTGTGGAAGCGCCTCAACGACCACGGCAAGAACTGGAGACACGTCTACAAGGTGCCCGAGTCTGGCCTCTAGGGGACTTCACCCAGAAATTAAACTTAGCCCAATATCTACCTAGGAAATCGCCTAGTGTTAATCTGCATTGCTATGTGTACTCGTTGTGAATACGCAGACCACAAGAACTAAATAGTTTTTTTTTTTTTTTTATCATTTTTACTCACGACATGCTATCTGGCAACACAGGGTTCCATTCATTATGCTAAGCTAAACTAGCGCCGGCGCTGCCACACTAAGACAATGCATGCACTGAGACAAAAATGCGTTTGCCCACCTATCTAAATGTAGGGGATACGGTGAATAACCCCTATTTCAAAAAACGGTGGCGTGTTCCTTTAAGCAGACACGTTCAGTTTACGCGATCGGTGCTGTGGTGGGCATGTTTCTTTACACCGACTTTCGTAGCAAGCCTAGTCTAATTTACAAAGTGTATAATGATGAGCGGGTGTCGTTTGTGTGTGTGTGTGTGTGGTCCAGGCTCTGACGCTGCTGGACTATCTGGCCAAGACGGGTTCGGAGCGGGTCGCCCAGCAGTGCCGCGAGAACGCCTTCACCATCCAGACGCTGCGCGACTTCCAGTACGTGGACCGGGACGGCCGGGACCAGGGCGTGAACGTGCGCGAGAAGGCCAAGCATCTGGTGGCTCTGCTGCGGGACGAGGAGCGTCTGAGGCAGGAGAGGGCGCAGGCGCTGAAGACCAAAGAGAGGATGGCGGGCGGGGGGGCGGCTCCTCCCGCGTGTCCCAGCCGGCGCAGCAGTCAGCCTAGCATGGCCGCGCTGTACGGCGAGGAGTTTAGCCACTCCAGGGGATCCCCGTCCTCTTTCAACTGTGAGTAGGGTTAGGTACTGTTAAAGGTGCAGTGTGTGATGTTTAGCGGCATCTAGTGGTGAGGTTGCGAACTGCACCCAACACAAGTTACGGTGGTCGACGGGAAATGAATGATCAACTCTAAAGACACCAACTTTATAACATCTTGTTCAGGTTTGATTCTAATTATAATGAAACTAATGAAAAACTGTTTGTTTTTTCGGTACAAAAAAAAAGCTAAACTTTGACAAAAAGGTAATTTTCATTGTTATAATTGTGATTGCATAAGTTGTAGATATGAATCCAACTGGAAAAACTTGTGAAAAGATGTTTTTCAGTCAAATAGTGATGCTCTGCAGCCGTCTACTGGTTAAAGTGATCATTTTTTACTTTTAAAACTGCATTTTCCAAAAGATGGGCAATAATCTTACTCGAAACCACGTCAAATTATCCATGTGAAATGTCGGTCTTTTATAAAGTGATTTTACATAAAAAGCTGTTTTTTTTTATAAAAACCTATTTAAAAAAATATTGTATAATTTATTTATATAAATTTTTAAAAAATATAATAAATCATAATAAAAAAATATAATAAAGTGTGGAGTAAAAACATTAATAAACTATATTATATTGCATTTCTGTCAACAGATCCTCCTAAATATTACACACTGCACCTTTAAGTTTTAAATCACAGCTCTCATCACAGCTGCTTCTGTCATGTGGTGTTTATAGTCTAATGAGGCCGTGTGACAGCGACACACAAAGACACACACACACACACACACACACACACACACACACACAGTATAACTGAAGTGAGATGGCAATGCTTTATGACAGTAATCACATACATTACACTCATAAATATAAAGATTAATGTCCGTTCACTCTGTCTGTCAGCGTCGTCCTCGTCTCCCCGAGCCTCTGATCTGGAACAGACTCGACCGCAGACCAGCGGAGAAGAAGAGCTACAACTGCAGCTCGCCCTGGCCATGAGCAGAGAGGTACACACACACACACACACACACACACACACACCGCAGACCAGCGGAGAAGAAGAGCTACAACTGCAGCTCGCACTGGCCATGAGCAGAGAGGTACACACACACACACACACACACACACACACACCGCAGACCAGCGGAGAAGAAGAGCTACAACTGCAGCTCGCACTGGCCATGAGCAGAGAGGTACACACACACACACACACACACACACACACACACACACACACACACACACCGCAGACCAGCGGAGAAGAAGAGCTACAACTGCAGCTCGCACTGGCCATGAGCAGAGAGGTACACACACACACACACACACACACACACACACACACACACACACACACACACACACACCGCAGACCAGCGGAGAAGAAGAGCTACAACTGCAGCTCGCCCTGGCCATGAGCAGAGAGGTACACACACACACACACACACACACACACACACACACACACACACACACACACACACACACCGCAGACCAGCGGAGAAGAAGAGCTACAACTGCAGCTCGCCCTGGCCATGAGCAGAGAGGTACACACACACACACACACACACACACACACACACACACCGCAGACCAGCGGAGAAGAAGAGCTACAACTGCAGCTCGCCCTGGCCATGAGCAGAGAGGTACACACACACACACACAGACACACTCACACATACACACACACACACACCGCAGACCAGCGGAGAAGAAGAGCTACAACTGCAGCTCGCTCTGGCCATGAGCAGAGAGGTACACACACACTCACACACACACACACACACACACACACACACTCACACGCACACTCCCTCTCTTCTTTACATTAGACTGTTTCCTGTAAACGATCTCTGTTGGTTTTCAGTGTCTGTGGTGTTTGATGTAGTAAATGAACACAGGCAGTGTTGGAGTCTTTCTTTCCCAGCATGCATCAGCCGGAGCGTTTCCATCTCGATCCACTGTCTGTGTGAGTGTGTGTGTGTGTGTGTGTGTGTTTTGGAGCACTTTTGACTGTAAAGCTGCTTTGAAACAATCTATATTGTTAAAATATATATAGTTTAAAGTTCCTCCTCTAACTATATTTCTGTGTTCTCTCATGTATTGTCCTGGATCTGTGCCTGAGCTCATTAACCTCCTGCTCGTTTAATCCTGATTAATCCTTCACTGAGTATCTGCCCGACGGCGCCCCCTTCAGGAGGGTGTGTGTTGATCTCGTGTGTGTGTGTTGATCATGTGTCCTGTCCCGCAGGAGCAGCGCGGTCGCCATGGAGACGACCCTCAGCCTCGTCTGCAGAAGGTCGTGCAGGAGGGCGAGAGACAGTCAGAGGTGAGACAGAGAGAGAGAGACTTTCTACGTTTGCATGCACAACCTTTGTTTCAATCGGACTGAATTCATAAATCTGAATGTGCATGTACACGTATGAACACCTGCTGACGCTTGCTTTCCTCTCGCAGTCGGCCATCATCGATCTGGTGGATGTGTTCGGTCCCGCGCCGCTGGGCGACGACCCCTGGGACGCCCCGCCCACCTGCTCCGTGACCTCTGACCCCTGGGACTCTGTCGGTCAGTCATCAATGCGCTAGTCGCGTTCACACATTCGTTTTTAATAATAGTTGGCGATTTCATCTGCACGTCCCCAGAAAATATTGCTGTCACGATGTGAATGCCTCTTTAAATTTCATTCAACTGTACAAACGTTACGATTTATCAGTATTTTGATCATTTTAAAACTATGTAGCGTTAAATGTTTCAGCGTTATTTTAACATTTTTATCAATGCTGAAACAACTGATGACATTATTTCAACCACATTTAAACGTAGAAGGGCAGTTACGTAAAAATATCTAAAAACAATATAACATTGCTGTAAATCTATGACGGTCGCTGATTTCATTCTATAGTAAAAATGCAACAAAAATAAAACATTTGTGGATGTTGTTTCTGCTTCAGCTGCAGTGAAGTCCAATAACCCGGTGGTTGGTAGTCCCTGGAAGGCCCGCCCTCCCTCCAGTAGCCCCGCCCACCCCTGGGGAACCAACCAATCACCTCCTGACCCCTGGGATGCCCCGCCTTCAAACTCCACCACTAATATGGATGGAAAAGTCTGGAGGAGCCCAGCGCGCACAGGTACAACGCATGATGGGCCCTATTGTCACCATCTTAGTCCACTTAATCCACTTCTGCTAGTTTAACGACGGGTAAAAGAGGTCTAAAAGGCTCGTCCCTATTATCTTAATGAGTAATGGGTGTGTTCTGAATAAACCAATCAGAGTCTCGTCTCCCATTCCCTTCAAAAGCCAGTTGCGTTCGCGCCATGGCGGATTCGCTATTCACATGGCGGGATTTACAAGCGGGAAGACTGAACGCTTCTCTAGCAAGGGGACGGATCTGCTTATCGTGTAAAATATGTTCTCTAGAGATCCATCTCTATATTCTCTGCTCTTCATTCCAGTCCCGAGCGGGAAGGACCCGTTTTCCATTCCAGAGGAGGAGGAGCTTACAGTGGAGGGGGAGGGGCCTATTGTGGAAGGGGCGGGGCCTATCCAAGTGTTCAGCCCTCGCTGTGAGAGTCCCGCAGGTCCTCATCAGACCCTCTTCACACTCGTTTCCCTCTCTGAGTTGAGTTGAAGCTCATTCGCATCTCTCGTTCCAGATGCCGATCAGTTCGGCGAGTTGGTGGGGGGCGTTCAAGTGAACGGGTGGGGAAGTGACAGTCCGGAGACCTTTGACCTCTCTCGTCTCGGGCCTCCCATCGACGCGGTGACCCAGAGACAGTGCCGGACCCCTGAGGCGTTCCTCGGACCCACCGCCGCCTCCCTCGTCAACCTGGACACACTGATCCCAGCCAACCCACCGGCCAAGAGCAAAAACCCCTTTCTGTCAGGTAGGAACTCTTCATTCACACTCGTCGGTGGTGGAAATGTATCTAGTTTTAAAGTAGTTCACTTTAAAATTTAAATCTCCTGTTAATTTACATACCCCCACGTCATCCAAGATGTTCATGTCTTTCTTTCTTCAGTCGAAAATAAACTAAGGTTTTTGAGGGAAACGTTCCAGGATGTTTCTCCATATAGAGACTTCAATGGAGTCCAACGGGTCGAAGGTCCAGATGTGAGTTTCGGTGCAGCTTCACAGTCTCGACACGATCCCAGGCGAGGAATAAGAGTCTTATCTAGACAAACCATCCGCCATTTTCTAAATAAAATAAACATTTATATACTTTTTAACCACAAATGCTCGTCTTGCACATTACATAATCACGTTGAAATCCGGTAAAAAAATGTAGGGTAGGGCGAAAAACTCCATTTCAGATGGTCCTCCAACTTCAAAATCGTCCGTTGTTTTACCATTTATTTGTAAAAAAAAAAATTTGTAAAAAAGTCTTTGCACATTCACTTTGTAAACACTAGGTCGGTACTTTCGCCCACGTCACGCTTGACCTTTCAACGTGATTACGTAATGTGTGGCGCATCACAGCTGGTGCAAGACGAGCGTTTGTGGTAAAAAAGTATATAAATGTTTAGTTTTGTTATAAAATGGCGGATGGTTTGTCTAGATGAGACTCTTATTCCTCGGCTGGGATCGTGTCGAGACTTTGAAGCTGCACTGAAACTCACATCTGGACCTTCAAACACCATTGAAGTCACTATATGGAGAAACATCCTGGAACGTTTCCCTCAAAAACCTTCATTTCTTTTCGACTGAAGAAAAAAAGGATGACGTGAGTAAATGATCAGGAAATTTTAATTCTGAAGTGACCTACTCCTTGAAGAAATGATTGGCTGATTGTGTGTCTCAGGTCTGAGCTCGCCGTCTCCCACAAACCCTTTCCACTGTGATCCGCCGAGACTGACCCTGAATCAGATGCGTCCTCACTCCACCTCTCCGCTGCCGGCTCCCGCTCTACCCTACAGCGCTTCTCTTCCTCAACCCCTCCTGCAGCAGAAGCCCCAGACTCTGCCCTCGTCCCACACACAGCCGCCCCACGGCCTGCTGGATCTGCCCAGCAACCTCCCGCTGCCCCTGCTGCCACTCACACCCTGCAGCCGACACACACCTCCGCAGGGCCACAACCCCTTCCTCTGAGGACCCGCCCCGGGTCACACCCCCACACCGGATCACCGAGATTCAGGTTCAGTGTGAACGGACTGAAGCGGTCATTTGAAGTCCGCAGTGTTACAGTGACACTATCCTTCCAATAGATACGACACACATTTAATGACTTAAAGCGTTCGTTCGGCTGTGTTCTGCGTGATAATTAAAGCGCGAGACTGGATTATCACATCTATATCGAGCTTAAAGTCAACATGAACTCAAGTCAGACTCCGTTTACTTTGCTTATACACCGTCCTGATCTTATTGTGTCGTCACTGCATGTTATATTCCAAAAACCTTTGGTTATAATCACAATATTTCGTCGTGCTCTGTCCCTTAATTGCCTGGCATCATCTAGGTCAGGAGTTTTCAATCTTGCCACGGACCCTCATCCTAAAATCTACAAGGCAGATATATACATTTGACCCAAAGTATTACATTGAAATTTTATTAAATATTAAATAAATGTTAATACTATAATTGTGTGTAAAATATTATTTGGAAAATATTATGTATTATTACTATAAATTGAGCTTTTTTTTTTTTTTTTACTTATTATTATTAATTTATTATTATTATTATTATTATATTTGCATGTAAAGACTAGGGCTGCACTGTATTAGAAAAAAAATGGTCTTGTGATGTTTTGCTTTTCTGCGATATATAGTGTATTCATTTACACGCTTGCAGCTCATAAAACCACTTTATTCTCAGTAAATGATGTTTCTGAGACGTAAAAACTGTATCATAATCTATGTTTATATATTTATATATTATAACATGTATTATACGCATATATATAGTTAATTAAATCGCAACTTGCGTGATTTCACAGTTGCACAGTCTCATATTGTGAATTTGCGATATAATATTTTTCCGATATATTATGCAGCCTTAGTAAAGACCCAATTTATTTTAATATTAATTATGAATTTAACCTTATTTATGTATTTAATTTATGTACTTATTACTCAGAATTTATTTTAATTCATAATTTCTTTATTTATTTTACAGTTTTTTCCACTGTTTTCCCGATAATCTTTTCGATGGTCCCCTGTTGCGGTTGGAAAACCCCTGATCTAGGTCACATGTGTGGGGAAAATAATCTAAACCAATAGCCAAATATAGTTCCCTAGGCATTATAAAGCTACAGATGTAGGTGGTGATCTGCAAATAGTTGATGTAGGAACTAATGCTGGCTAACATAATGCAAATGACAGCAATAATAGCCGTTCTGGTATGCAACGTTCACTTTTCACAATCCGCTCAGCTCCCGATTGATAAAACCCCTGATGATGTCGCATTATGGGTTGTGAATGTGGTTTCATGTTGACTTTAATATGACCCTGGCTCAACGCTTTACTCTTGCTGCACAGGAACAGCATGCTGCTAATGAACCGCGGAGAGATTAAACGCCAATATTTCAGGAACATGATGAATCTCCACCGTTTCCTTTCTGTTGCCTCGAATCAGCGGATCGTGTGCAATGAGATCCGGCACTGATTGTAACCGAGCTCCTCCACGTGCCTGTCTCACTGACAGTCCCACAATGCACTGGGGCTGGCGCCTCACTTCCTGTTTGGATCTCACAGGAACCCTCATAGCCAATTAAAACTCTGAGAGGACGAGTCGACGCTGAATGATCCGATGCTGTTATTTCCTCCACTCATAGACCGTGATTGGAGAACAAGTACCAGCTTTACTGTTGATCACTGATAAAGAGTGTGTGTCCCAGTACAGGACAACCAGGTTAACCCTTCAATCTACTATCAGTTAAATGGTGTGTATTAAAGACACTAATAAATGAATGTTATTCACTTTTAACGCCACATGTTCTGTCCCTGTCCAGCAGAGGTCGCTCTTTCTAAATCAGCCGGGTTTGTTCTATGAATATAAGTCATTTCTGTAATGTACAGTTAACTGGAGAGGATATTCTGATATCTAAAGCTTTTTCCATCATTCAGAAGTCCAACGTAGAGCATTTCCGATGCGCTGAAGTATTTGAACTTTTGTTCAGGATGTGATGTGTTGATTATAACTATGAGCGCGAGATGAGAGAATTACCAATATTTTTCCACTAAACATTTTTTTAAACACTATATTTGTAGAATTGCATGCGGTTATGAATAATTATGCTTTATATAAGTATTGTATAGTGTGTGTGTGTGTGTGAGAGAGAGAGAGAAAGAGTGTGTGTGTGTGAGAGAGAGAGAGAGAGAGAGAGAGAGAGAGAGAGAGAGAGAGAGAGAGAGAGAGAGAGAGAGAGAGAGAGAGAGATTGTGTGTGAGAGAGAGAGTGTGTGTGTGTGAGTGTGTGTGTGTGTGAGAGAGAGTGTGTGTGTGTGTGTGTGAGAGAGAGAAAGTGTGTGAGTGTGTGTGAGAGAGAGAGAGTGTGTGTGTGTGAGAGACAAAGAGAGTGTGTGTGTGTGTGTGTGTGTGTGTGTGAGTGTGAGTGTGAGTGTGTGAGAGAGAGGGGTTTAACGGTCTCGCTGATCTCACATGTCTGAACCTGCAGCTTTTTACAATATAACTGCACTTTTTCTAGCAGTTTGGCAGGTTTCAGGTGCACCTGCTTCACTCTGTGTGTGTGTGTGTGTGTGTGTGTGTGTGTGTGTGTGTGTGTGTGTGTGTGTGTGTGTGGCCAGCGTAAACTCTCGCTTTCGTGTGCAGATATTCAGATATATAGTTCAGGCTTGTGTTTCAATGATCTTCAGTCAGGAGTGTATTACTAATACTAATATCTGAAGTGTGTATGGACGCAAATGAGCAATTTCACACCAGTTTGAGTTTGTATACGTGTGAGCATGAAAACCTCATGACAGAAAAAATGCAAAGAAACTCATTTAAACAGTGTTTTATATAAATATAATTCAGTGCTTCACATGATGTTTCACTCTATATAGTTCATGTGAACTGTTGGTTATATAAAATATTGTTATTTATTTACAGGCTTTATTGATATTGATCTGCTGAGATTCAGACATTAACGGCGAATTCTCTTCCTCAGGTTGTGTTTGCGGAGACTCGTCTGTTTTCTCTTCATGCTGCGTTTTCCGTGTCTTTTTGTCCCTGTTTGAAACACAACAGTTGACAAGGAGGCGGAGTCTTCAGCAGAGGGGGCGGAGTCTTCCGCAGAACGGGCGGAGTCTTCAACAGAATGGGCGGAGTCTTCAGCAGAGGGGGCGGGGCTTCCTGCATTTGTATCTGATCTAACATCTGGAGGAGTGGAAGTGCTTTGGTTGAGGTCCATGTGACCTCGGACTGAAGTGTGAAGGTTTGAGACGTGTGAGTTTAAAAGCACGGACTGAGAAAGCTGACAGAGAGCGAACGCTGCGGTCTTCTCTACAGACGCATGATCCTCTTCCTGTGATGTCACAGCACCCATAACCCCCTGCTTCCGCAAGCAGCTCTGTGATTGGCCGAGAGACATCTTCATAGACAGGTTCAGAGGACTGTCTCTCCTGGAGAGGTTGAGAGGAACCAAAGTATCGTCATCAAATCTGTCGTTTCCCGCTCTTTCCATCTCTCTGAATGCAGAAGAAACAGGACACAAGTCAATATATTTAAACATTTATTTATTCAATAATTATATAAATTAAAATTATATAATTTCTAAAAAGTAATTTAATTTTAATTTCGTATTTTGAAAAATTATAAATATTAATTTGTAAAATTCTAATTATGTATTACCCAAATTATAATAAATTGTAAAAATTAAAACAGTATATTAGTACTTTGAATTTTTTTTATGGAATTGAATCATTGGTAAAATGATCCATAATAATTTGTAAAATGAGAAAATATTTATTATAAATATAATTCATTTGTAGAATATCTGATCTCAGGGAGATTCTATTTTCATGTAATTTTAATTTAATAATTCGTCAATTTACCCATAATATGTAAAATTATAATTATATATTATTATTATAGAAATTATAATGTTACAATTAATAATTTGTACTCTGATCTCATGGAGATTTTTATTTTAATTTAATAATTTGCCAAATGAAACACTGATTATAAATATTATTAATTTGTAGAATATCTGATCTCAGGGAGATTATATTTTTATTAGGGCTGTCAAATGATTAATCACGATTAATCACATCCAAATTAAAGTTTTTTTTACATAATATATGTGGGTGCACTGTGTATAATTATTTTGTATATATATAAATACACATGCATGTATATTTAAGAAAAAAATATAATTTCTATATAAAATATTTATATTTATATATAATATAAATTATATATAAATCTATATACAGTATATACATGAAAATATTTCTTAAATATATACAAGCATGTGTGTGTATTTATATATATAAAATAATTATACACAATGCACCCACATATATTATGTAAAAAAACTTTTATTTTGGATGTGATTAATCACGATTAATCATTTGACAGCCCTAATTTTTATGTCATTTTAATTTAATAATTTGTAAATGTATTCATAACGTTAAATTATAATTATATATCATAATAAAAAGTTACAATTAATAATTGAATAATTAATTTGTACTCTGATCTGATCTCATGGAGATTGTTTTTATTTTATTTTAATTTAACATTTGTAAAATTATCCATAATAATTTGTAGAATTATATACTATCAATACATTTAATCAGTAATTAATTTGTAGAAGATCTGTCCTCATGAATATTGCTATTTTTGCTCAATTTAAATGTACTTTGGATGTTCTGACCTCTCAGGAAGAGATTTTTTTTATTTTAATTTAATAATTTGTAAAATTAGACATAATTTGTAGAGTTAAAAATTATTGAACTGAATCAGTAATCAGATCTGTCCTCAGGAATATTGTTATTTTTGCTCAGTGTAATGTGGATGCTCTGACCTCTCAGGAAGACTCCAGTCCTCCTGTGTCTGTGTGGCCACGCCCCTCTCCTCTGATTGGCTGGCTGGAGCCTCATCATGAAGTGGGAATGTCTGGGAATGATCAAACCCGTCGGGTCTGTCCGGTGATCCAGCAGCGGATCGTCCCGTCTCCGGACTCGCCTGAACCTCCTTCCCCGCCAGATTCACCACAAGCGCGTACGGATCATACGGGATCCGGAACGAGTAAGAGTCGGGAGTCGGGATCGTGCAGCAGTTCCTGAAACACTCCTCCGGGAACGCCACGGGGAACAGCGTCTGTGGGAAGAGTCCGCGAGTGACGTACGGATGAGCGACTGGCTCGTAGATGTACGGGTTGTAATGAGCATGGAACGGGAACGGGAAATGAAACCCCGGATGATACGGGAAATCTTCGGCTCGCTCCTGAAGGAGTGGCTTGTTTAGGAGGTTCGGAGCGCCGGGAGTGAACGGCACCGGAGGCCTCCAGACGGACGCGGGAGTGAGAGGATGAATCGCTTCCGGTTTGAACACGGTCCAGGGAGTTTCCTTGGATGAGGACACCGTTTGAGGATCTGAGGGATCCACTGGGATCTCCTGCGACGGGTCCTCTGGGATCTCCTGCGACGGGTCCTCTGGGATCTCCTCTGGGATCTCCTCTTGGATCTCCGGGTCCTCCTCGTCTTCATCCGTGTGTGTGGAGGGGTTGTTTTCCTCTCGTCTGCCGGGTCGGGAGCTCACGGACACGGACACGTCACACAGGTTGTACTTCATGTGGTTGAACAGGTGGGATTTCTGGTTGCAGGTGAAGGGACACTGGAAACACTGGTATCGGAAGGGTTTCCCGGCGGGACGAGGGATATAGTGAGGCTTCTTCGGCTTACGCTCCTTCACGAGGATGTCCATCGTGGCCATTTAGGGTTTGCAGAGGAGGATAATGCTCGTTTTTAAACACAGAAACGTATAAATGACCCTGTAAAGAGAAGGATGTAGGCCATTGAATTGAGGTAAACACAACAAAAGACAGGTGAGAACAATAAACAGTCTTTGGTCTGTTATATCCTCTTGGTAAATGGTTAAAGGGTTAGTTCACCCAAAAATGAAAATTCTGTCAGTAATTACTCTCCCTCATGTTGTTCCTCCCAGTAAGACTTTCGTTCATCTTCGGAACACAAATTAAGATATTTTAGATTAAATCTGAGAGCTGGATCACTCCTCCATAGGCTTCTTAAGGGATCGAAACTGGCCGGCCCAAAAGTTATGAAAGACATTGTTAATATAGTCTGAGTGACTACAGTGGCTCAATCTTAAGTTTATCAGTTTCGATCCCTTAAGAAGCCTATGGAGGAGTGAGACAGCTCTCAGATTTAATAAAAAATATCTTAATTTGTGTTCCGAAGATGAACGTTAGGGTTAGGGTATGAACATGAGGGAGAGTAATTACTGACAGAATTTTTGGGTGAACTATCCCTTTAAGATTTCCACTAATAGTAAAAGCATTTCTCTCAGTTCTGCTTAGACATTCATTATTTACACGGAGAGTAATGTATTTTGCATCTCCTCTAATGATGACACGTGCTGTGTTGAGTCTTCATATGCTACGGGTTGCTGATTTCTTCCAGAAACATATTTTGTTATGCTAGTTGAAAGTTTCTTCTATGGAAGCCTGTTTCCGTCACAAAAAAAAAAAAAAAAAAGATAATTGCAACTTTTTATGACAATTCTCACTTTTTTTCTCAGAATTACATGATATAAAGTCGCAATTGTGTGTTATAAAGTGAGAATTGTGCTATATAAACAAACATGCAAGTCAGAATTGCGAGTTTATTTCTCGCAATCGCATGCTTATATCTCACAAGTCGACTTTAAAAATGCGACTTTATAGCACTCAATTCTGAGAAATAAAGTCAGAACTGCAAGATGTAAACTCGCAATTGTGAGATAAAAAGTCGCAATTGTCTTGGGTGATCCTACGAGGATCGTGTTTGCAGAGGCAGAGTTGGCCGGCTCTGATAATAACAAATGCACATGAGCAGCGGTAGAAAGCGGTAGGAGGCGCCGCAAGTGAGTTCCTTTACGCCAGTGTTGTGTAATATACGCCCACAGCTGTAGGGGGAGCTGATGAGAAAACATGTGACAACAAAAGTGAAAATCAGCGAAGAAATGACTAGAGTTGCCAAGTGCCCCTTTAATGGACATTGAGGTAAACGCAACAAAAAACAGGTGAGAACAATAAACAATATTTGGTCTATTAAATCTTCTTCCAAACTGGTGAAGACAAGTCTCCTTTAAACACTGTTGGAAACATTTGGGCTAAAGTGCTCAAGGCAACACAATATATAATATATTTTGGATATATTAATCCCAATCTTCCATTGTGCCTTTAAAGCTTGAAGCTGTTCACTGCCGTGATATTGAGCGCGAGCTTGAGTAAACGATTGAACTTTCTTTTATTTTTGGATGAACTTACCTTTATTTATAGCGCTTTTTACAACACAGAGTGTTTCAGAGCAGCTTTACAGAGACAACAGGAGGATAATGCAACAGAGTTTGATTCCAGAAGAAGCAAGTTCAGTGATGGTTCATTTTTGTTGTAAAAAAAGTTATTAATTTAGTTCATTTATATATATCGCCGCTCTGGAGAAAACCGTGATGTCATCGTTCATATAATGGTGTCAATGCAGGCAGATCAATATTATTGTTGAATATTAAATGAAGCAGTATTGTTAATATAGTACATATTAATATAGTAAAATCTCGTTTCTTAATTCCGCTTCAACATCCATAATTTGCATGAAAAGAAATGTTTTTTGCGGTTCGATCATCTCTTTTAATGACGACACGCGCTGTGTTGAACACAGGTCAGAAGTGTGTGTGATCGGTGAGAGTTTTTGACAGAACTAAAAACAGTGATATTGAGCAATATCTTTTACAATTTTAAGGAACCCAATTCAAGGTATGTTGATGGTCCCTTTAACACATTCGCAAAAAAAAAAAAAATCAATGAAAACAAAATTGATTGAAAGTTTCTTCTGCCACAGAAAAAAAAGGTAATAGCGACTTTTTGTCTCGCAATTCTGCTAGAAAACATCACCTGATGTGCTTTATCGGCTCGTTTGAATAAAAGCTGTCCTGTCTTTAACGTTCAGTCTGTTAGCATTAGCGCTAGCCTGAGGCGAACGAGTGCTAGGCATGCTAGTTTGCATGAGCTTCAGTCACATGCACACAGGACACTTTACTCTTCAGTCTTATCTTCCTACTGTTTCCTCTTTTAGACCAATCGTTATTTACAAAAACCTCCTCTTTGGTCCTGTCTGTCTGTCGCAACACGTCGTCCTTCAGGTTTCGCTGGTTGTGCGAGTCGATGTCACTCCTTTTCAGATAATCCCTCTTTTACCTACATACTTTTGCTTAAATAGGTTGATTTACCGTGGTAAACCTAATTTACACCAAAATTTCAATTAACCTGCAGTTATACCGCGGTGAAATCATGATATATAGACTACAACATCTTCATGAAACGATGTCCAAAACTTTTGTTTATTTGAGCCACTCCTCCACCGAAAGGGTGACATTTCTGTCCCCAGGACATATACAAATGCATGAAAATTAACTCTAAAAACTCTTTATTATTATTAATCAAAATGTCCTGCACATTAAGCTAACTACAAGTTTGAAATGTATCAATAATGAAAACTATATAGAACACTACAAATAGCATTTATTTATGACAGCGATTGATATGGTTCATTTCGTATTAGAAACATGCATTTAACTACTTGTTCCAATGCTTAAAGTTAGGATGTTACACTTATAAGCACACGTGATCGAGTCGAAGAAAAGCGTGAAAACGGCGCTGTAAGGATTTACCGTGGTAAACCATGATTTACACCAACATTTAATTTAGCCTGCTTACCACGGTAAAATCATACGCGTCATTTTTGACAACGATGGATAGGAAGTTATACAGATAGGCAAAAAAGCTACTTAAGTACAGTAACGAATTACATTTACTTCGTTACTGTCCACCACTGAATTCAACAGCAATGAGTCAATTGTTCCCTTATAGACCTTTTAATGGCGTTGTGACAAAGTTTACTGACTGAAAATGGGTATATGCAGTTACCACACTTATTAGAGTTACCGCACGTATAGAGTAGGATGATTTATGAATCATTTATTTATATATTGATGAACTATATATAGTTATGACTGATTTCGTATTCGAAACATGCACAACTCCTCTTATTGTAACGGTTAAATGTTGCTCAGTTCTGTTTTGTTTATGTAAATATTTGTTTTTTATTAGCAGTGTGATAAAGCACCAGTCTCTGTCACTGAAACTCATTTGTTTAGCTTATTTTGACTGATAAATGTCTGATTTTGTTCTTACCTCGCACTTGTCCGGCAGCAGAAGCTCGTGTCCTGTAACAGGTGTTTGTTTGGGGCGTGTGAGCGTGTGTCCTTTTCACTCTCTCACACACTCACACACACACTCACAGACCGGCTCGACCCGTCGCGCGGGTCACGTGTGTAGGGGGCGGGGCTTGAGGAGCCCCGAGGATACGTCAACACTCACGCGCCTGCAGCTACTCGGAAAACTCGGGGTTTCACACAGAGATTGCTTGTGAATTTCACTAACCAAAGAAATGACAAGAAACGCGTTGAATTGAAAGTGATATTATGAAGTAGCAATATAGTTTGTATATAAACGCAGAGAGACAGTGTGTGTGTTGACAGGCATGATAAGAATGTGGTAGATTGAGATCTTTCTCTGTCTGTAGGGCACAGACACCATGTGTATGACCTCAGGTGCTGTTCTCTCTCTGTGTGTGTGTGTGTGTGTGTGCGTGTGTGTGCGAGTGCCGCTCCCTCAGCGGTGACGATCAGTAGGATTTATCACAGGCAGTTTCACTGAACATCCAACCCATCGCGACACACACACACACACACCACTCTCACTCGACCGTAAACGGAGGCGTTGTGAAGTGAGCAGGCGACAGGTGCAGGTCCACACACGTCAGCATCTCCATGATTATTGCTGCAAAAATGGCTCTTTAATATTTATTTATTATTTTTCTTAATATTTATTTATATTAATTATATGGTTTTATTACTTCGTTTTTTTTTTATTCGGGTTTATTAGTCATTATTATTTTTATGTTCTTTTGATGACTTGTCTAGATGGTCACGTGTGGTGTTACCACCTCCCTCGTCCAATCACAGCTGCGATCGCTGAGCGACAGCGGTTCAGTCCAATCAAATGCCCGTCCGCGTTTTCTCTCGGCCAATCATCTCGCTACTCCCGCCCTGACGCGGAAGTGATCTGTGCGCATGCGCTCATCAACACACACACGCGAGAGTGAGAGGAGAACCAAAACAGAGCGTATTACGGGGATATTAAACACTGCGAGAGCGGAATGAGCTCAGTTTGGAGATCAACAGTGTGAGCACATATACTGGAGCACAGATACTCGTGTGTGTGTGTGTGTGTGTGTGTGTGTGTGTGAGAGATGAGCGGCACACAGGAGTCCAGTGGAGAGTCCGAGCACGAGGCTAAGCGGCCGTGCACGCGCACAGAGTCACGTGACCGCAGTGAACCAGCAGAGGGCGACAGTGTTGCAGTGGTGAGTTACTCGAGTCTCGAATCACTGTGTATCATAAAAACCATAACAAATCACAATCATAACAGGAGCCAGCAAAATATCAATATCAGTCACAATACACAAATATCAAGCAATGTCATTTACTGTAATACGTCTCGTGCATGCAAAATAGTTCACTCATTAGCGGTTTGTTAGCATTTAAGGAACCTTAAAATATTAAAACAACACCTCTGTATTGAAATAAAATGCTAATACATGTCAGAAATAAAACTATTATGTTCCATTGTGTTCTGTTATATTCTGATGTGCTCTATTTTGTTCCATTATATACTGTTGTTTTCTATATTTCAGTTGTAATCGAAATTATTCAACCCCCATTGCAAATCAGGTTTATTGGCATCATTTACAATCGAGTGAAGGGATTTGGGAAACTGAAATGGAAGCACATCTTACCTAATTCAGATTAAAACACATCTATTTAGCCTCACGTACTGACTTTATTTGTAGTTCATACTGTTTTAATACCCTGTATTTTCTTTCTCATTTTTAGGAAAAGCACTTTACATGCATTGTTTATTTCTATACCAAATGTCATACACTTGCAATGAAGCTAAAAATATAAACAACTACATCAATTATGTTGATATCCTATATTTTTACAATAAACCTTATGACAAACATGTCTTCTAATATCCTCAGTTGTTGCGTATACCGAGCTGCATCGAACACATTTGTAAATTACTCTCCTTGAACCCATTGCGTGAGTTCTCTTTAATACCGGGTGCGTTATATACATGTTGCTGCTGATTGGACTGCAGTTCTGACACGCCACCAAACAAGAGAAAACGCATCTCAAACCCCGTTGCACACCGGTGCACGCCGTTTCCAGAAACATGACGTTCAACCCGGAAACCGTAGCAAAACGTTGCGCACCGCTTTGAACTTGAGCGTGCCCCAGGTGTTGTGTCACTAATCAAGGGCTTCATGAGCGGCACCAGGTGTGCCTGAGCTAGAACACATGAAACACCTGAACTCAACCGGTTTGTTGAGTGTCATGTTTGAAGTCAAAAGAATGCTCCAAAAAGTTAAGAGAAGATATCATCGCCTGACACAAACATCGCCTGTGTGTGTGTGTGTGTGTGTGTGTGTGTGTGTGTGTGTGTGTTTCAGTCAGTGATCATGCCCGTGTATAATGCTTCTGATTGGCTGGACGAGTGTCTGCAGGCGATACTGGAGCAGGATTTCCCGGGCCCGTA